CAGTGGTTAAGAATCCGCCTGCCAATGCAGGGGACACGGGTTCAAGCCCCAGTCCAGGAAGATCCCACATGCCGTGGAGCAACTAAGTCCGTGCGCCACAACTACTGAGCCTGCGCTCTGGAGCCCACGAGCCACAACTAATGAGCCCACACGCCACAACTACTGAAGCCCACGCGTCTACAGTCCGTGCTCGGCAACAAGAGAAGCCACCGCAATGAGAAGCCCGCGCACCACAACGAAGAGTAGCCCCCACTCGCCACAACTAGAGAAAGCCCACACGCAGCAACGAAGACCCAACACAGCCAAAAAAAATTTTAAAAAAGAAAATAAAAGCTACAGTAATCAAGAAGGTAGTATTGGTGAAAAAACAGACAAATAGATCAGTGGAACACAACAGAGAGCCCAGAAATAGACCCACACAATAAAAATCAACTGACCTTTCACAGAGGAGAAAAGGCAATTCAATGGAGACAGAATGGTCTTTTCAACAATTGATGCTAGAAAAATCGGATATTCAATATGCAAAAATTTGAACGTAGACATAGAAGTTACACCTTTCACAAAAATTAACTCAAAATCAATCACAGAGCTAAATGTAAAAATTGTAGAGGATAACAGAGGAGAAAACCTAGGTGACCCTGGGTATGGCAATGAGTTTCTGATACATCTCCAAAAGCACGACCCATGAAAGAAAACTTAAGATGAACTTTATTAAAATTAAAAACTTCTGCTCTGTGAGGACACCATTATGAAAATGAAGACACGTCACATCCTGGGAGAAAATATTTGCAAAACACATATCTGATAAAAGACTTGTATCCAAGAAAGACAAAGAAATGATAAAACGCAACAATAAGGGGGAAACAACCCATTTAAAACACAGACAAAAGATCCGAATAGACACTTCAACAAAGAAGATACACAGATGACAACTAAGCAGCGAAAAGATGCTCCACATCACGACATAAGAGAGCTGCAACTGAAACAGTCACGAGACACCATTACACACTTACCAGAACGGCCAACATCCACAAAACCGACACCACCAGATGCTGACAAGGATGCAGAACAACAGGCGCCCTCAGGCACCGCGGGCGGGAACGCAGAACAGCACAGCCGCTTTGAAGGCAGACTGGCAGCTTCCCAGGAAGCTCCAGTCTTACCACATGACCCAGGAACCATGCTGCTCGGCACTCACCCAGATGACCGGAAGACTCAACGCCCACACAAACCTGCACACAAACGGTTAGCGGAGTTGCATTCATAACTGCCCAAGGCTAGAAGCAACCTTGACGTGGGTGAGGAGAGAACCTGCAGCCCAGAGGAGCTGGCAGCCTCCATCCTGAAGACGCGAGCTTCACACCTGCCTCCTGGTGTTTGTACAATACAGTTATTTCTTTTGCCTGACCGCCCCCTCCTCCCGCATAAATCCTTACCTGAGCAACTCGGATTCAACCTGCAGGTTTTAGCTTAAACTACCGAATCCTCCTTGAGCACCTCTCAGAGGCCAGCACTGAGGGAGACACCTCGCGTGTCCCGTAACAGCTGTGAACACGGGCAGCCCCGGGATGCTGCAACTGCCCATCGCTGCATCTACAAGCCCTCTGGGGGGCTGGAGACGCCAGAAAACAAGGGGCTGCACCCGCCCTGCCGGAAAGCTTAGCCCTGGGGACCTACACGGTGTCTGGCATATAGTAAGACGTCAACAAAGACAGCGCCAACAAAGAATCAATCATCGGAAATTAAAACTACGTAACGCAATGTTATAAGGGTCTAGTGAGTTTTATCCTTACTCCTATAAGACTGAAATCACAGAAATACACACAGTAATTCAATCACATCAGGAAATTTTTCTTGAAAATAATCTGTTTGTGTTTTGTTGAAATACTTCCGAATCCCAAAAGGATAAAATTCAGATTGCTACCTTTTTTTCCTCCTGTCCCCATACGTGTATGCAACTATTTGAAAGGGGAGAAAAAGCATACACAGCTATTTAAAAGGTACTAAAAGTTTGACATTCTTATCCTAGAAATCCAACACAATTGTGAAATAAGAACAAAAATTTCTTGAAGAAACAAAACTACCAGGCTTCTTTACAATAAATATAATACAGTTATGGAAGTCTTTAAGCCACATCTTGTTCTAAAGTGAACTGAAACCAGAGTATAAAAATACATACAACGCCACTGAATAAAATAAAATGTAAGGTAAGTAAAGGAATCTCAGTAGGAGAAAACACAAGGATGGGAGATAAATTTAGAAATGAGGTTCAGACACAAACTACACGATTCATGGTTCTGTGTATTTGCAAAACGTGGGTCCAAAATGTGGCTCTATGCGGACTGATGATCTATCAGCTTCACTAGGTCATGTGAAAATGGATACCCTTGTCTTGCCTCACATTATATATGGTATTTCCTAGGTCTTCTACCAGGACCATCTTTCTTCTGACCTCACCCTCAGCCTAACCCTTTTTCAGGATCTCGTGCTCAGAGTTTTTATTATTCAACTTTTCTATTTAGAAGTTTTTCTTTAAAAAAAGAAATCCGCAGGTAACACAGTATAGGATCATCATAGCTCTTTTCCAGCGACAAGCTCACAACCTCCAGTACTGCCCCAGAGTGGAGCTCAAATTCCTACGGTGGCATGTGCTACACCTGCCACAGACCCTGACACCAAACCTACCTCTTCTTAAGTACATTTTACATCAGACCAGCAAGCTGTCTGCATTCAAAACCGTGTGGTGATTTAACAACCACTTTCTTTTTTACCTAAAAGAAGATGAGAACTGTGAAAATCTGGGGCTAGAAAAAATCAGGTTTTACATTCACCCAGTTCCAACCCATATACCAACAGCGTCAGCTGCAGGCAGAAGAGCGTAACGTCAGAGCACATTATGATTCAGTCTAAAAACAACTCTTTTCAAACAAATTCCTTTTGCTCTGCTGAGATTTACGTCCAGAAGCCGAAGCCTTCTCTCCTCCACCCTTCAGCAGAGGCACTTGGAAGCCAGCTAAGCAGGCTGTCCCGGCTGTTTAAACTACTGTCCCATGAGACCTACCTCCTGCAGGGCATCCTAGGCTTTCCTACTTGAAAACTAACATAATGGGTCAGTCGGAGGACACCCTGGAGTCCCCAGTGGGGAGTGGGGAGTGGTTAAGAAAGGGAGGACGTACTAGAGTTACACACTAAAGCTGATTTTAAAAATACACTTTACGGCAACTACTGAAAAACGTTTGGGACAGTACACACGCTGTTATGCTATTTAAAATACTAGCAATATCAATTCATTTGCTGCACTGTTTTTATAAACCAGATATCGATAACAGTTTGCTTCCTAGCCACTTAATTACGGACACATACTTGGAATAACAACCTATGCTGAAAACTCAACAACTAGTGTAACGAAAAAATTTTTTACACATTAGTCTTATTCTATTAATAAAAATAACAACCATCTCTGTCAATTCTTTTTGGTCCTTCACATGCTATGATATTCATTTTTTTCTTAATAATTACATTTGCCTAACCTCTATAACTACAAAAAGAACTGAGACCTTTGCTATCTTATTTGAAACTCACAAACAACCTTGTCAATAAGTATCATAATTTCCATTTTATAGGCAAGGAAACTGAGATAGTAGTCACGTTATAAATAAATACAAACACACACACATCCATTGTTTGGGGGGCATGTTTGTTTACTGATTAAGGAGTGATGATGCCACGTGAAATGTGTTTTATTCCTTCTCTCAAGAGATCAAATCAATCTAATCAAATCCATAACTATCCAACTTCCAAACATTTAATACAGGAATATTTTCATGACTGCCTCAGTAAGTGATAAACTTCATCAATTATAAGCCCAAAACCATTTCTAACACATCCCAAGAGAGCAACTAAAAGACCTAAAATTATTCAGAATACAAAGGTATCTTGGCAATTATAGAAAAACTAAACAAACCAATAAAGCACTCTTTAAATGTATTGCTAGGAGAGTGTCGCACATCAACACGCTAACTTCTTGAGAACTGCCACTGCCTGAAGCCCACAAACTGCAGCAAATCTGACAAGAGAAAAACGCAGCAAGTATTGTCCTGTCCTGTGAAGCAACCGTCCCTCAGGAGTCACTCACTTCCAAATACTATACATCGGTCAAAAAGCCTCTCATCACAACAGACAACCGTAACAGGTCGAGCTGAATGGAGGACGGGACCAGATACTGTTGAGGCATACGTGTCCAGCTCGTCCAGCCTCGAGTAAGACTCTAAATTTCCTTCAGCTTGAGTTAAAAGAGAGAAAATGCAACTCCTATTTCCAGAAGCAAGAGTGGCATATTTTCCAGTAAGTTCCTTGTTCTCGTCTTGCTATTTTAAGAGTTCTGCTCACTCCCAGCGTTGCTGTGCGGCAAGATCTGGTTTCTAGTGGCTGATCATTTCCACGGCGTGACGCGCGGCTAAAACGGTCTCCCACACTGCTTTTTATTCCTCTTTAGCGTCCCTGTGTTTATGCACAAAATTCCGTTTCAGTGGCACCGTGCCAGGAGAAGAAACAGCTTTGCTAGAATTTCACTTGACTTTATTAGAGGAAATTATTTTAAATTAATGTAGCTGCTGAACAGCTGTCATCCCGAACCTCAGAAAATATATTCCTTCTAACTTTTGCTGCGAACATTTATTTATTTAAGTTAAATTCCAGCTCATGAACGTTGACCATGAGGAGTCTAACCCTTCCTGCTACTATTTCACATTCCTTTTCTAAACAAGGGCAAGCACGGGCATGCTCCATCAGTATGCACAGCCAGATCACCACCATTAAGTGAAATCATCTATGTATTTTTGGTGGAATCCTTTTAACAACTTCCACGCCCGGCAGTGAAATGGAACAAGGCTGTTTTGTTTTCAGAGGGCAACAATTTGATCTCTGGTTTACTAGATGGTGCTCAAAATATTTTTCCATATGTTTTTCCGCGAAGATCATCTGACAACAGCATGGTTTACCTTGACTAGTGAATGCAGGCTTTTTTCACCAAACACATCCCAGAGGAAGGTCAGGTCTTCCTGGCTGTCCACATGTGGCCGCAGCTGGGCTGGCAGAGCCGCCAGCAGCTCATACAGACCTATAAAATGGAAATAAAACACAAAGCGTCACCGCAGAGTGTGATCTCATTAATTTCGCTTAAGGTGTGTGAAACTGACAGCTGGAACGTGTCGCTTTTCCCGGATCTGTACTCTGGCCCATCAGGCAAAGCTCTTCTCCAGAGAAGCAAGGGAAGCTTTTGGATTTTTAAATTCCAAAGATGTACATATTAACAGGCCTGTTTTTACCTTATGCGGTGGTCATTTTACAGTCCTCCAAGTTTACATAACCCGAGACAGAAAATGTGTACAAGCCTTCAAAAAAAAAAAAAGAAGAAAATGCATACATTCCTTTCCTTAATCGTTATTACATTTCCCTCAATGTTAGCCAAAAAGTGAAGTGAGTCATGAATAGGAAAAACTTCTTTAGAAGAGAAAATTGATAGCATGGTCCATTAAAATGGTTTTGTGGTTTCCAAAGAGTTCCTAATAATATATAGCTTCAAAAACATTTGCGTTACTGAACGTCCAAAATCAAGTTCCCAGAAGTAAGCCAGAACAAACCATACTTGGTGTGGCATTATTTGTAGCCACGCTTTTTTTTTTTTTTAAAAACAATGACAACAACAAACTGCGTAGCACTCAGGCTAAATGAGACTCTGATTTGGAGGTATGTGACACCCCTGGAAAGAGTCAAGGCAACAGATGCAGGTTGCGCGTGCTCTCACTGGAAGCTCCCTGCAAGCAGACAGTAGCGCGGTGTCCCGGGAGCAGCCTGCACTGACCATCCGTCTCGTCCCCGGGACGGCAGACTCCTGTCCAAGAAATGCTGCAGCAGTGCTTGCCCGGGACTCTTCAGGGAGGTGACCTGGCAGAAGTCAGCATCAACTCAGAGCTCATGTTTCATTTTCCAGCGGGATTCCATGAGGTAAAAAGGACAAAATTCTTTTTATTTCTGTCTGCTGTCTACAAAAACACCGAGACCTCCTGGGGTCTACAACACATGGGACTGTTGCTATTTCTGGTCTGAATAAGAGCTGCTGTTCATTAGAAAGACAGCTTTACAAGATATTTAACCAGCGAAAACTCATAAATTATGGACTTCTGATTAGCGTGTCTGTTATCTTTCCAAAGCCTTATAATATTCTGATAACCAGTGATGATTCACAACCACATGCATGGGTACCACTTTGGAAGTCAGATACGAAACTTGAGAGATTTGATCAAACTGAAACATTCCTTGGGCTGTATTTGGCCAAAAAGATCCAAAATACTCCAGACAGGATAAAAGAAAAAAAAAAAACCTTCTCTCCACTGCATTCTGAAGTGTTCTTGGTGGGTTACATTTATTCTCATAAAAACCTGGCATCCTGCCTAAACCAGCTCTTATTTACAATTCAGCAAAAATATTTTTACGGTAGCTCAAGCTAAGTCAATGTATAATGATACAGGTCTCACTTTATACAAATATATACACACACACACACAAATGTAATGTAATCACAATCGCCAAGATCAGAGATTCAAAACATGAAATTATGTAAAAAGAACGTAGAATTTCACTATTATTGATTTCAAGAGTAGTAAAAATGATTACCTATTCCTTAGTAATATCATTAGGGTGAAAAGACACTCATTCAACTGTGATATAATTTACGTGGTGCAGTTCATGGGGGAGTCAATGAGTTTAAATAAGTTAATACACTTGAACAGTCCTGCACGTGGTAAGTACTCAATGTTTCATATTGATGGTGAGTGTGATGGTGAGAGCGATGGGGAGTGCGATGGTGGGTGCGATGGTGGGAGCGACGGTGAGTGGGATGGTGAGAGCAATGGTGAGTGCAATGGTGAGAGTGATGGTGAGAGTGACGGTGTCATGGTGAGAGTTATGGTGAGTCACAGTGAGTGCGATGGTGAGAGCAATGGTGAGAGCGATGGTGAGAGTGACGGTGAGAGTCATGGTGAGTGCAACGGCGAGAGCGATGGTGAGTGCGATGGTGAGAGCGATGGTGAGTGTGATGGTGAGTGCGATGGTGAGAGTGATGGTGGGTGTGATGGTGAGAATGATGGTGTGATGGTGAGTGTGATGGTGAGTCATGGTGAGAGCCTATGGTGACTGCGATGGTGAGAGTGATGGTGAGAGCGATGGTGAGAGCAACGGTGAGCGCGACGGTGAGCGACGGTGAGTGCAATCGTGAGTGCGATGCTGAGAGTGATGGTGAGAGTGATGGTGAGTGTGTGGTGAGTGTGATGGTGAGTCATGGTAAGGGTGATGGTGACAGCGATGATGAGTGCGATGGTGAATGCGACGGTGAGAGTGATGGTGAGTGCAATTGTGAATGCGATGGTGAGAGTAATTGTGAATGTAATGGTGAGTGTGATGGTGAGAGTGATGGTGAGTGTGACGGTGAGAGCGACGGTGAGAGCGACGGTTAGTGCGACGGTGAGAGCGATGGTGAGTGTGATGGTGACAGTGATCGTGAATGTGATGCTGAGTGTGATGGTGATAGTGATGGTGAGCGTGACAGTGAGAGTGATAGGGAGTGTGACTGTGATGGTGAGAGTGATGGTGAGTGTGATGGTGTGATGGTGAGTCATGGTGAGAGCGATGGTGAGTGAGATGGTAAGTGCGATGGTGAGAGCAATAGTGAGTGCGATGGTGAAGGCGATGGTGAGGGCGATGGTGATTGCGACGGTGAGAGCGACGGTGATTGCGACGGTGAGTGTCATGGTGAGAGTCATGGTGAGTGCGATGGTGAGGGCGACGGTGAGTGTGACGGTGAGAGCGACGGTGAGTGCGACGGTGAGTGTCATGGTGAGAGTCATGGTGAGTCACGGTGAGTGCGATGGTGAGTGTGATGGTGAGAGCGACGGTGAGTGTGATGGTGTGATGGTGAGTAGGATGGTGAGTCATGGTGAGAGCGATGGTGACTGCGATAGTGAGAGCAACGGTGAGCACGACAGTGAGCGCGACGGTGTGTGCTACGGTGAGAGCAACGGTGAGTGTGATGGTGAGAGCGACAGTGAGTGTGACCGTGAGTGCGACGATGAGAGAGCGACGGTGAGTGCGATGGTGAGAGCGATGGTGAGAGTGATCATGAATGTGATGGTGTGATGGTAAGAGTGACGGTGAGTGACGGTGAGCGTGACGGTGAGCGTGATGGTGAGCATGACGGTGAGAGCGACGGTGAGTGCGATGGTGAGAACGACGGTGAGAGTGACGGTGAATGTGACGGTGCGTGTGATGTTGAGTGTGACGGTGAGTGTGACGGTGAGTCATGGTGAGGGCAACGGTGAGTGCGACGGTGAGTGCGACGGTGAGCGACAGTGAGTGCAATGGTGAGAGCGACAGTGAGTGTGATGGTGAGTGATGGTGAGTGTGATCGTGAGTGCAATAACCATTGGGTTATTGATTTTGACTGTTATTCATCATTAGCATTACTAAAAATGCAGAAATTCGGATCAAACAGACAGACCTAGATTCAAACCCCAGGTCTATACGCATTTCACATTACTTATCTGAACCTCGTTTCCGTCACGTGTTGAAAAAGAAATGGTAATGTACACATGTGGTAGAACTGCACAGAACTAATACACACACACACACACACACACACACACACACTCACGAGCACATGTGAAACCGAGGACATCTGAAAAACGTCAACCGATGGCATGGATGACGATCTCCAAGTTGTGACACGCTACTACAGTTATGCAAGATGTTACCACGGGGGGAACTGGTGAAAGTACACAGGATTTCTTTGTACTATGTCCTACAACGTGTGACGCTGTAATTATCTCGAAATAAAGCTGAAACGTGCAACAGTTGCTGTAAGAATTCAATGGAACGATTGACAGGGCGGGCACTTGATTAAAATAACGATGCTCTTCTTTCCTTAGTGCGTCTCCTTGCAGCGAACGTCTCAGTGCATTGCTTCCGGGGGAAAACAACAGCTTAGAGACACCTGCCAACTGGACATGACACCATACTCAGAAATGAAACTACCCGCGTCTTTTCCATATGGGAGTTGTTCACTTTACCCACGTACACCTTAGCTTCTTGCGGGAATAAGCCATGTTGGGTTTAATTTTCAAAGAGTAGTAACTTCTCTGTTAGTCAAAGCTCAGAAGCTCGAGTTTTCTGTGTTTTTCCAGCTTTATGCAATCCTCATTCGTATGGTCCTCGAGTGGCAGTAACACTTGCTTCTCTTCACCTCCCACATCTGGTGCCAGAGAACAAGGCCAGAAGAGACAGGACAATGCCAATCAGAAATTTAAAAGACGGTTATAAGAGCTCGTAGGCCAGGGCTGCATGTAGTGTCAACGCAGGCAACGAGGAAACCATCACTTCCACTCAAATCAGCAATCCAGGCCCCAGAAAGCACCTCGGTCCATGTCTAAAACTGGGTCTGTGATTCCACGTGTGCTTTAAAGTGTTCCTATACTCAGTTCCTAAGTCCCAATCATGAAGAATACTACGAAATCCAAATAGTTTGGGTCCTTGAGATTCAGAGGACAAGTAAAGAGAGCTGAGACAGCTCGGCACGTCTTTAAAAATTTTACCTAAATCCACTTGTTCCCTGCGCCATGAAACTTATCCTGTGCTCCTCTGTGGTCACCCCAGTTCATTCTAATAAACGTCTACGGCACCTGTGAACCCAGCGCATCCCTAGCTCTGAAGGTCTAGGACAAATCGGACGTGATTCCTGTCTGCAGGCGTCTACAGCGTAGATGACACCACAGGCTGTTAGCAAAGTGAGTGCAGGACAGGGTCAGGCTGTGGAGGCAAGGGAAGGGGCCGGTCCCTCCAGGGGAGGGGACAACCTCAGGAGACCCTTCAGCAGGAACAACGCCGAGTCAGGGCTACGAGGGCTGCAGGCCCAAGAATCAATACGCGTGAAGCTCTCAGAGCTGGAGCCCTGGGGACAGCACTAGGTGTAGCATACACCACCCTCTCCCCGGGGACCTTACAGTCTCGGATGACACAGAATGCATCTCATATACGAGCAAACACCAAGCAATCCTATTGGCCCAGGTA